CAGCCCCGCCTGCTCCCAAACCGGAAAGACCCAGGGGTTGGCTCGGGAGCGCCCCCGCCATGCGAGGCAGGGCGAGGCCCCGGGTGCAAGCTCCTGACCCAGCCCCTTGGCCACCCGCAGATGAGTTGACGGTGCCCCGCTACCGCACGGAGAAGCCCTCCAAGTCGCCCCCGCCACCCCCACCCCGCCGCAGCTTCCCCTCCTCTCATGGGCTGACCACCACGCGCACCGGGGAGGTGGTGGTCACCAGCAAGAAGGACTCGGCCTTCATCAAGGTACTGATTCAGCCTGGGAGGCTGAGGCAGGAGGAAGCCAGAAACGGCTCGGCTCCGGAAGGGGCCCGGGTGGGAGGGGCCTTCCCTGAGGGTGCCCTGGCCCTTGCAGAAGGCGGAGTCCGAGGAGCTGGAGGTGCAGAAGCCCCAGGTGAAGCTGCGACGGGCCGTGTCCGAAGTGGCCCGCCCCGCCTCCACACCCCCCATCATGGCCTCGGCCATCAAGGACGAGGACGAGGAGGACCGCATCATCGCGGAGCTGGAGGTGGGTCGGCTCGGCTGCTTCCCGAACCCCGTCCTTCCCGCTGCCTCCACTGGAAAATGGGGCCCTCACGTCCTCCTTGGAGGCTGGAGGTTTTTACTGTAGTTCCGGAGACTCCCCAAGTACCCCAACATCCACTGCACCCTGAAAACTCCTCTCCTTCGCATCTGGGAGACTGAGGCAGTGAGCCGGGCAAGGCCTGGTACCAGATGTCCTGAGGCCTCCCAGGGCTGACCCACCCAACTCAGTGTCCACGGCCCCTGTCCCCCAAGTCCCTGGGGCCCTGGACTGCTGGGACAAGGAGACAGAACCAGGGCAGAGCCGGTCAGTGGTCATGGTGAGGGCCGGTGCCGTGTCAGGCCACCCTCCCGGGACCCTGGCTACTGCCCTCCTCCCTGGGGTCCCCTGCTCCAGAGCTGCTGCCTTCTGCTCCCCAGGTGTTTGAGAGAAGCTCAGTCTCCTCCCTCCCCCCCACGCCCCACCGCCAGCTGATCCCCACCTTGCTGTCCCCCCAGGACCTGGGGCCCCCCAGGGGCTCAGCCCCGGGCCCTACGTGGAAGGTAATGGGCGCCCCACCTCTCACAGCTCTCTGCCTGTGCCTCCACACCTGCCTGTCCGCCTCTCACGCTAACCTGCTGCCACCTGGTCCCGCGGCACCCCCAACCCCATGCCAAGGGCGGCACAGAGCTGGCTGACCAGCAGCCAGGGCATCCGGTGATCCCAAGTCTGCATTCCCTTGCAGGCCTGGTTCTAGTCCTCTCAGGGTGGCCTGAGCACCCTTCCTTCCTGTTTGCAGCCTGGCCCAGGTCTGGCCTGAAGCCCAAGTAGTGGGACTGTGATTGGAGTTTGGATCTTACAGAATGACTTAGAGTCTAGTTCAAAATCTGACTTTAAACCTGGCATGGTGGCCCACGGCTTTAAATCCTGCTACTTAGGAGGCTGAGTCAGAAGAATCACTGAGTTCACTGCCAGCCTGGGCTATCCAGAGAGTTTAAGGCCAGCCTAGAGTACTCAGTGAGACTTTGTTTCAAAAAAACAAGCACCAAAATGTCTGACTTTGAGCCAGGGGTGGTGGCACAGGCCTGTAATCTGAGCTGCACAGGAGGCTGAGGCAGGAGAATCACAAGTTGTAGGCCAGCCTGGACAACTTAGTGAGACCTTGTCTCAAAAAATTTTTTACAAAGGCCTGGGAATGTGGCTCAGTGGTAGCATGCTCTTGGGTTGAACTCCTAGGAGCACAAAAACAAAGCAGAATCATTTAAAACTCTGACTTTGTTCTAAGCCTTTGCTTAGTCCCTCCCCACGCCTTGCCCCGCGCTGTGCCAGGGGAGGGGCTCTGCTTTCCCACTGCAGCGTGTGCCTCGCCCGCCCTGGGGACCTGGACAGCCGCCCCTGCAGCTCCTCCAGACTCCCGACTGCTCCTCTCACCCCATCAGGAGCAGGAGCCAGGAGTGGGAGAATACAGGCCTCTCCTCGGCTGCTGGTTCTGCCTCAGCACTGGGAGTTCTTTCTCCTCTCTAACTCGGGTCCCCTGCTGTCCCACTGCACTTCCTCTGTCTTTATTCTTTCTTGGGATTTGGGGGGCACGGGGCTGCTGTCTGCACCCACAGAAGTGTGCACAGGGGCAGGGACTGGCACACTCTCCTCCGGTCCCAGGGACTCTGCCTGAATCCTGGCCTGGCTGGAGGTCAGGTCACTTTGGCCCCTGGCATCAGGTGGTAGGTGGAGCTCTCTGCTGGGAGGGGGTGCAGAGAGTCCAGAAGTCATCTGGGGACACGTGATGTGGAAGGGGCACCTCCTGGCCGGCTGTGCCTGTGGCCCCGGCTCCTGCCCTGTCTGGCTCTGGGGAGTCGTGAGGGTCTCGGCAGGCAAGGCCCCCTCCCTGGCCTTCGGGCCTGGCTGACTCTGCATCCTGTGGTGCCATCAGGCAGTGGAGCCGGGCAAGCATGGCATTGCCCCCTGCCTTCCCAGCCTGCACCCCACTTCCAGGTAAGCAGGTGGCAGGGCTGGGTGGGTGGCCTGGGAGGGTGGCTGAGGTCCTGCTACCCCCATGCAGCCCTCCCTGGCTCCTCTAAGTGGAAAGAGCTCAGGGCTTGGAGTCAGACTGTCTGGGTTCACACCCTGGCTCTGCCACTAAGGAGCTGCAGGTCGGAGATGGTGGGTGGACCCTGTGACAGCTGTCATCCTCAGGTCCTCGTCTAGACAATGGGGACAGCGGAGGGGAGGTCATTCCATGGGCCACAGTAAGCATTACACTTGATCTTAGCCAAAAGGCTGAGAAGCGATTCGCAGTAATTATGAAAGATGAGGTCACCAGGTGCTGTGGTATATGTCTGTAATCCTAGCTTCTGGGGAGGCTGAGGCAGGAGAATCATCGTGTGCAAGCCCAGCCTCAGCAATGTAGCGAAACCTTTTGCTCAATTTTAAAAAGTTAAAACGGCTGGGGATGAAGCTTGTGAAAGAGCATCCAGCACAGTCTGGTACCCAGAATGAGACCAGAATTCACTCGGGGGTTACTGGAGACCTCACTGTATGACCAATATGCCTAAGGGAGCTTGGCGCAGCATAACCTGGCCACGCCTGCCCCATGCCAGGCAGGGCCAGAGTCTCAGCTGCTCAGCACAGTCAGCAAATGGCCTGTGTGGGGCCTCACATCCTGTGCAGTGCAGTGCTGTGCCAGGTGCGTGCCCGGATGGTCTCAGTTCTGCACCTAACCCTTGTCATTGTCCCGCTGAACAGACTCAGGGAGCCTGAGACCTGATTTCTAGTCCCCACTTCCCCTCCACCTTACTGGCTAAGCCCAGTGAGGACCTCCCTGCCTCAGTTTCCCTGCCTGTCACCCGCACCCCAGCTCAGAGGTTGGTTCACAGGCTTCATACCACTCCCTGCCTTGCTTTCCCCCCAGGCTGCCCTGGGATCCCCGGCCTCTTGCGTCCCCCGGATCGTCCTGACAGAGTGTGGCCCCTCCCCACCTGAGGCCAAGAATGCGGCTTCAGGCCCCTGCCCGGCCCCCGTGCCAAGACCCAGGAGCAGCTCGGTGCCCCGGAGTGACAGGGCATCTGGGAAGAGCCTGTCCAGAGCCACCTGTCCTTGGGCACCAGCCCTAGCTGGGACTCAGGAGCCTACATTTCCCAAGAGGCCCGCACAGGAGACTCCCGAAGGCCACAGGGTGCAGACTCACTGCACAGCACGCAGGGACAGCCTGGAGCAGACGCTGCTGGAGCTGGAGGCCACCCTGAGCAAGCTGGGCGCAGCCCCCAGCACTGCAGGACCCCCCAGTGTCCCCTCCACCCTGCTCCCCAGACCCCAGGTGGCTGCCTCTCCTGTCCCCCCCACCGCCATGCTGCTGCAGTCTCTGGGCCTTCAGAGTGGAGGGTGCCAGGGCTGCAGGAGTGCCAGCCATCTCTCTCCTCTCCCCACCCTCTCCGGAGCCTGCAGCTGGACCAGGGTTCTTGGGCAGAGCCCCTGGGGAGGCTGGGAAGCTGGCTCACCCAGGACTCAGCCCTGCTGGTCTGCAGGAGCCTGGTGCGGGGTCCTCTCCCTGTCTGCTCTGTATCTGTAAACCAGCAAATAAAGTTCTCTCCTCCTCCACCCCCTTGCTCCCTCCTCCTGTCTCCGACTCTGTCTCTCATTTCTCTGTTTGTGTTTCTGGGTCTCCGGAGCCCCTCTGGGCAGACCTGGTACTTGAGGGGATTCCAAGAGCCAGGCTTCGCTGGGTGCCTAGAATCCCAGCACAGTAGGAGGCTGAGGCGGGAACCTTAAAACTTGGAGCCCGACAAAGGCAATTTAGTCACATAGTGAGATTCTGCCTGGAAGTTTGAAAAGAAGTGGGGTGGTTGTGGGTGGGGTGGATGAAGCTCAGTTCAGAGGCCCTTGTTCAATCCCCGGTATGGAAAAAACCAAAAAACCAGGGGAGGGGATTTAGCTCAATGGTTCCACAGCCTTCCTCGGAAGTGCAAGATCCTGAGTTCTATCCCTGGTACCAAAAAAACAAAAACAAAGAAAGAAAGAAACACGCTTCCCACCTCTGGGGAGACCTCACCTGCTCCCCATGAGGGCAGTGTGGGCCTGAGGCTGCCACCTGCTCCACCTGCCCCTCGACAGCCCCCAGCCCAGGCGCAGGAAGGAGCCCCTGGCCAGGAACAGGCGTGGAGCCGGGGAAGTAGCCTCGTGGGGGCATCCTTGTCCCCCAGGAAGCTCCCAGAGTGCTGGAGCTCAGGAGCTGTCCTGTGGGACACCTGGCTTCCCCGCCTGGCCCAGCTCAGACCTCCCGAGTGCCTTGGGCCCCTTGAGCCTCTGACCCAACCCAGTTTCTTTCTTCGCAGGGTGGTGGCGGCGGTGTGCCACCCATGAAGGTGGTGACCCCTGGGGCCTCCAGGCTGAAGGCGGCCCAGGCCCAGGCGGGCAGCCCAGACAAAGGCAAACACGGCAAGCAGAGAGCAGAGTACATGAGGATCCAGGCCCAGCAGCAGGTGAGGTCCGTCAGTCGGTCCCCATGAGCTCTGCCCTTCCCACCCAGCCTTGGGACTGTTCTGCAGTGCCACGCTTTGGGTCTGACTTAGGACAGGGGCCCTCAGCCCCGTGTCGTGGCCCTCAACTGTGATCCCAGCACTCTGGGAGGCTGAGGCAGGAGGATTGAAAGTTCCCCCAGTCTAGGCAACTTAGTGACTTGGTGAGGTCTTGTCTCAGAAAAAGAAGCAAAACAGAGCTGAGGGTGTAGCTCAGAGCAGAGGTCCCCAGTTCAGACCCCAGTACTGCAAAAAACAGTTCTCAGCCAGGACCCACCCCCCGGGACACCCTGCTCGGGGGAGGTCCTGAGATCTAGGCTGGGGTGGGGGTATTTGGCCCCCAGCTGGCAAGGGCATGGTAGGGGGGCCCCGTTGCCCTGACCTCCCAAAGTTCCTGGCTCAGACACAGGCCAGGGTTGGGCAGGCGCAGTCCCCTCTTTCTGGAGAGGGGCCAATTCCATGTGGAAAGCAGTGTGTGGCACCCCAGCCTGGGTCCCAGGCGCCCCCAAACCCTCCCCCTGCCATCCAAATTCCTCCCAGACCCCAGGACTCCTCCCTGCCGCTCCCGTGTGTAGTGAGTGTCCCTGTCTTGTCCCGTGGGTCCCTCTGCCCAGAAGAGCACCTGGCTTGTGGGGCGTTTGCCTGTGCCAGGCACACGTATGTCCTTCACACCCGCTGCTCTGAGGCCTTAGGGTAACCGTGGCAGGCGGGGAGACGGACCAGGAGCAAGGCCTTGACAACCCTCCCTGTGCAGGCCCCGGCCCCTCCCTGGTGTCCTGCCCTGTGATCAGCTGTCCCTTCTGCCTCCTCGTCCTGCCCACCTCCGCGGCCCTCAGCTTCTCGCGCAGTGCTCTCCTCCGCGAGTGTCCCTGCTGCCAGCTGTCCCTCAGGAAGCACAGCCCTCCCCAGCATGACATTTGTGACGCCCTGGGTCCCAGCCCCAGTACTGGGTTAAAAAAAAAGAACGAAACGTAGACGTGTAGTCATCCTGGGCCTGTCGTCACCTGCAGCCTGTCTTCTAAGACCTGCAGGCCCTTTGCAGAGTGCAGTTCGTTGTTTTTCAGTATTGAGGATTGAACCTAGGGCCTCTGCATCCCCAACTCTTTTGCTGTTTTGAGACAAGTTCTCACTAAATTACCTAGGCTGGGCTCACAATTGTGATCCTCCTGCCTTAGCCTCCCAGAGTGCCGGGATGGCAGACGCCGAGAGCCAGGCCCGACCCTAGTCTGAATCCCTTCTGCAGCTGGCTGCCAGGGCTGCTCCTGGTCGCCTGGTTCTCCATCACCCCCTGCCCCACCCCCAGATCAGCTGGGCTGGGGCTCAGCTCCTCCAGCCCAGTCCTTGGTCCAAGTTATCCACTCTCTGGACTCCTTTTCCCCTCACATGCACAGTGGGGAGGAAAACCCCTGAAATCTCAGCTTGGGATCCCCCGGCAGACAGAGCCAGGTTGCCAGAGGTGCCGGGATCGAGGGTGCGGAAGCCACAGACACCCCACCTCTGAGGATAAGAAACATGTAGGTCTCCTCTGGGGGTCACCCCGGCAAATAGTACTTAGAGAGGCTGTGACCTTCCGGGGCGGAGGGCAAGGGACGCGGTCACAGCTGCTCGCTGCTGACCCTGTGGCACTGGGAATGGCCCAGCCTCAGGCATTGTAGGGCGGGTGATCCACTTCCGGGGGGAACCCCGCCTGCACCTGAGCAGGGGTGCAAGGGTGCAGATGATCCTGGCAAGCAGAATGCTGAGCAGCTGGGAACGTTTGTGTCTTGGGGCAGACAAGTACTTCTCCAGACAAAACTGAGACCCACAGGAGAGGATCTGAGGGCAAAACAAGGAAGGGGAATCTTCAGAGACATCAGCCGTGTCAGCCTACAAGGCTCAGCAGGGCAGGATGGGGTCGCTGGGCCCGAAGCCTTGGGACAGGGCTTTGGGGGTGGCGCTGCAGAAGGCCTGGCCCTGGTGTGGGGGGAGGAGGACAGCCACCTTCCTGAGGACACTGCACCGCCTATGTGCAGGCATGAGCCGGAAGGCAGGGGTTCCAAAGACCCAAGCTTGGAATAGACCAAGCACCTTGAAAAACGCTCAAGGGAGAGAACAGAAGATGCTTTTAACCAGAAAGATTGGTAGAGGACAAAGAGGACAGCCAGGAGGGAGCGATGCCTGGTCTGGGGACACAGAAGTGCAGAGGCTGGGGGGAAGGCAGCCGTCCACCCCCTCGGAGAGAGGACATTGGATGGGGTGGGACTGTGCTTGGATCAGTGACTTTCCCCTCCCTCAAGACTTGTGGGAGCCCACCCTGCGGCTGGGTGACCGTGTGGGTGCCCAGGGAAAGTGGGAACCCGGCCAGGCCTAGCCTCAGGGCGGCCTCTGGTGTCGGGCCACTAGACTGTTTTCAGTCTTTGAAACAGTCTTGCTGTGTAGTTCAGAACTCAGGGCACCTGCTGCACCTGCACATCCTGGACCCACAGCAGAGTCGCCTCTAGAGGGCCCAGGGATCTGCAAGTGTGACACGAGCCAGACATCGTCAAAGCACACCTTGGGGACCACGATTCCAGAGAACAAGTGTAGAGCCTGGGGTCTGCGGGAGGTGAGCGGGCCAGGAATGAGGGACCCACTGAGCACGTGGCTTCAGCGTTCCACAGGGGACAGCTCAGGGGCCCGGGTGACTTTCCTGGCAGCTAGGTTCAGAGAGTGCTTCTCCCCCGGAAATGTCTGGGGTCCTTCCAGAAAGGGCACCCAGGTCCAACAGAGGCCCCTGCTTAGCATCTTAGCATCTCGGAAACTAAAGGGGACCCTGGATGGGCTGAGCTGCGGAGCCCCCTGCCAGGCCCGTCACCACGCTAACTTTCGCTTCTTCTCCTCCCCACCCGCCCTGTCCTCCCGCCTGTCCTGGGCTCGGTCTCTCTCCTCTGTGGTGTCTCTCTTCCACTTTCTCTCTCTCCTACCAGTAACTGTGGAGCACCCCGCCCCTCCCCGCTTCTTCCCCTGCCAAGCCTCCCCTTCCTGCACCCCCAAGGCAGGCTCAGCTGTCCCGATGCCCCTCCAGTATCTTCTCTCGGTTCTTGGAGGTTTTCTATTCCTCACGGTTCAGCTTGGGCCCGGCACGAAGGCCACCTCCACTGTCTCTGACCCGGACCCCTGTTTCTATTCCAGGCCACTAAACCATCTAAAGAGATGAGCGGGTCGAATGAGACCTCGAGCCCAGTGTCAGAAAAGCCCTCGGCTTCCAGAACCTCCATTCCCGTATTGACTTCCTTTGGGGCAAGGAATTCTTCCATCTCCTTCTAGAACCTTCTGGAAGCCCCCCCGTCTCCCCCAGCCTGTCCCCCCTTCCTCCTCCATCTCCCTACTCCTCGACCCCTCATCTCCCCATACCCAGCCTGTTCTCTGGACCCTCGAGGGTCCCCACCGCGTGACCCTCCTCAGTCTTCTATTCTCACCCCCCCGTTGGTGTTTTTGGTTTTTTCTTTAATGACTCGCTTTTAATTATCTTTTTCAAAAAAGCAGAACAGTTCAACTAAAAACCAAACACACCACCTCCCCTGACCTCCCGTTCCCAGCGGCTCTTCCTGGCATCGTCTGCCCCTTCTTTCTCTCACGCTTTTCCCCCAAGTCCGTCCTGCAGCTCCTGCCCTGTACCCATCCCCACCTTCCCCGCACTCCTGAGAAAACTCCGAGCAAACTCTGAGCCACGGAGACTTGGAGCGGCAAGAGAGCGCTCTCCCTTCTCCGTCAACTCTTCCCGGAGGGGCACGAAGACACCCCAGCTTCGACGGGACCACGGGACCACGGCACGAGGGCCACCCTGGCCTTGGAGACGCCCCGCTCCCCGTCCAAGCTGGGCGACACTGGACACTGCTGCTGCTCGGCCCCTTCCCGTCAAGACCAGTGTAGCTGCAGGCCAGAAGGCCCAGGGGGACACAGAGGGGCGGAGGCTGCGTCCCACAGGTCCCAGGCTGGGTGTGGCCACGGTGGCCAGGCCATTTGTCCCTGGGGAGCCACGGGCTTGTGGGGAGAAGCTGCCGCTAGAGGAGTCGCTGGGGACACTGGCGTGGAGGGTGGTCGTGAGACAGCCTGCCCTGGGCCACTGCCTCGGGAGAGGGCAGCCCGGGAGGAGCATTCTGAACTTTTGGTTTCCTAATTTAGCACTTTAATGCCATTAACTTATTTAATGGGTGCGGGTGGGTGACAGGGAAGGGCCGGAGGCCTAGGTCTGGAGGCCTGAGGGTGGGAGGGAGACGGGGAGCCCAGCTGGGAGTTTTGAGGGGCTCTGACCCCCACAGGTGGGGGCGCACTGGCCTTCAGCATCCTTTTTGTGACTTGAGGGCTTTCAGGGAGGGGGCGCGACCTGGGGATCTGGTGACTACTGATGAGATGTTTGAGGGTCCCCGAGGCCTGGAGAAGGGAGGGAAAGGAGGCGCTGGGTCCCTAGTCCTGGGGCCCCAGGGGTGCAGAGAGGGCCCGGAGGGAGATGCGGGGGAGCGGCGTCCCCAGAGGATAGCGTTCCGATTTGGAGCACAAAGGAAGAGGAGCACAGGCAGGGGATGGGAATTGTCCCCCATAAGCACAGAAAGGAGCAGCCATGGAAGGGGACAGACCCGTGCCCCTGGGGCCTGCTGGGGTTGGGGAGGGAGGGAACTGGGCTATTTTTTTTCATTCCTTTGGGATTATTTTTGGTTTCTGTTTTTGTTGGTTCATCCTTGTTTTCTAGCTTTGGACCATTTTTGTACCAAGGCAAGTGAGCCTTTTTGAAAAATAACAAAAGAAGAGGAAAAAAAAAAATCCCTCCCGGAAACAAAACATAAAAAAAAAAAAAAA